TCTTATCGTCCAATTTCTTCACTTTCAGATAAATTATGGATAACGTTATTCAGGAGATATTTCCATTGTATTCTCTTGAATAAAATTATCTACAGATGAAGAAATTGGACGTTAGTCACTTAAATTTTAGAAGTCATGTGAACTCTCATGCGATATCTTTAACAATATCATCTTATGATCTAATTATCTTTAACAATATCATGTCGATGTAATTGATGACGATTATCTAACTATTTAAATTAATAATTAAAAAATCATGTTATTTGAAGTAAGAGAAAGATATAAAAATGAACTGTTTATTGTATAAATTGATATTCTTACCTCGTCTGATTTCTACGGGATTGGCACCTTTACTGATTTTTTCAAATCCTTCTTTAGCTATTGCTCTAGCTAATATGGTTGCAGTAGTGGTACCGTCTCCAGCTTCCTCATTGGTATTATTAGCTACATCCTGTACCAATTTAGCTCCGATATTTTGAAACTTGTCTTTTAGTTCAATGCCTTTTGCCACAGTCACGCCATCCTTTGTGATTTTTGGGCTTCCCCAGCTCTGCTCCAGAATAACGTTACGTCCTTTAGGACCCATCGTTACGGCAACGGCGTCTGCTAAAATGTCTACACCTTGCAACATCAAGGCACGAACTTCAGCCCCAAAACGTACGTCTTTGGCATAAGTACGTGCCTGCAACTGGCGCAGAGCAGCTCCTCTCAATACAGTAGGTAATCTATGCATCTATAAAAAAAAAAATACATAATGTATGTCAGTTAAGAATAATTTATTTTTTACTAATATGCTTAATATCCTAATTTCTGATGCAATTATTAATAACATTGGGTTCATCAATATTGAACACATCGACTTCTCACAGATTCCCTATCTGCTATTATTTCAAACAAAAAGAAAAATACAAAAATCCTACATATACAAAAATCCTATACAGTGTATGTGTGTGTGTGTTTTTTTTTATATACTTTTTTATGTAATACAAGAACAGATTAAACAACTACTCAGATCAATATAATTAATGGCATGCACAGCCAACGTTGCATTTTGTGAATGATAATAAAATGCAAATAAGAAATAATTCTAGATTTAGCTCTTTCATATTTCTCTGACGTTACTTGTAAATACGAATATTTCGCAATTTAACGAAACAATTTCGTTAAACACTAAAGAAATTGCATGAAAAGCGATTTATCATGAATAACCGAAATCAATAGTTCTCGATAGTTGCTTTATTCCGGAAATACGGTTATGTAAACGTCCCGCGTGGCGTGGCGATTAAAGGTTAACGTTTAATAGAAATTATCACGGGATCTGACTAAAAATCATTTGATTAACCGCATACTTTCTTTCGCAAATTGATTGTGAAGAAAAGAATAAGTAATATTCCGCCGAATGATCGCGAAGAGATCGAGTGCGAACGATATACCCGGCCGGTTAAAAATTCGTTCCGGCGAAGTTTCTCGAATTTCCGGAGAAGCACGTGGCACGGATTCGCGGCTCAATCGCTTCACCTTCGATCCTTGAGGAAAATTCTCTGATGAACGGTCGATGAACGATGTTGGAAACTGAGAATGCTGAAAATCGATAACGGCGTGATCGAACCGCGTCCGTTGTCTTCGCTGATAAAAGACGAGTGGAATGAGCGTAGGATGAGAAGACGAAGAACGTGCGATATCACATGGATGTAGTGATCGGAGTCGGGGGAGAGGGATTTTTCACGCATGCGCGACAGTGACTATCAGTAGCGTATCATATTGTATATGATTACCCTGGATTCTCGTGTAAACAACAATTCTTCCGAACGCTGCAAAGGATTTAACCGATTGATTGTTACATTAGAACTGATTAATTGCATTTGCTGTCCAGCAGAATTGACCAATCACAGTTGACACTTAATCGACCGATTAGATTAAGTGGAGTTGGTGATACCGGCCCAAAATGCCGTGTAAAGCCGTAAAGTTGTCACGTGATGTATGTTCTAGAAAATATGGCAACTCCGCGCAATTCCGTATGATGCAAATGATGCAATCGGCCGACCGTTGATGATCATCTTTTTTTTCCTTCTTCTATTATGCCATCTTTGCATAGATATTTGTGGAGATAATTACTTCAAGTTACAATTTCGATTAAATTCATTCAGAAAAATGCAATAAAGAATTTCATTATAATATACCGCAAATACACAGAATCATTCTAAGTAATTCAGTAAGCCATATAATATATATTGTACATATAATTATAAGCTTATAATTAACTTAAGCTCCAAGCTGTAAGAAATTTAATTTTCATAATATTATACATCCTCGCCAAATTTACAAATAAGTATTAGGCAATTTTATATATAAGAATCAAGACAAACAATAAATCTATCTATCAGTGAATCTATACTGCTGACTCAGCAAATGAGAATTAAAATGGACTGAAATTTTTTTCTATCTGAATGTGTATTTTAAATAGCGAATATTTTTTTGGATTTAATTGGATTTAATTCGATTCAATTAGATTCAATTGGATGTAATTGGATTGAAAAACTGCATTTCCTATTAAAAATTTTAAATTGACCAATATTTACAATGTTGCGCACAGAAAAAGCTAATATTATTTTTAGATTGAAAGGCATAGAGATATGCTCCATGCAATTCCTATAAATGAATAAAAATGCATTCAGGATTGAAAAGCATTTATTTTAACATTCATGAATCAATTTCTGAAAATCTGAATCCATTTCAATTCATTTCAATCCATTCTCGTTTGCTGGGCTTTAAAGCAATAAAAGAATGTGCTCAATTTTAGATGTTCGGAAGTACAAAGTAATCTCTGAAATTTTTATAATTTTGATATTGACTTTTAAATGTGATACAACATTCTTAAGATTAAAGATGTCTATGTCCTGAGAAAATATTCCTACAATTCCCCAGCAAACGAGAATGGATTGAAATGAATTCAGATTATCAGAAATATTGATTGATGAATGTTAAAATGAGTGCTTTTCAATCCTGAATATTTTTATTCATTTACAGGAATTGCATGAAGCATATCTTTTTATGCCTTTCAATCTAAAAATAATGTTAACTTTTTTTATGCATTGTGAATTTAAAATTATGAATAGGAAATGTAATTTTTCAATCCAATTGCATTCAATTGAATCTAATTGAATCTAATTGAATCCAATAAATTGAAAAAAAATATTCGCTATTTAAAATACGCATTCAGATAGAAAAAAATTTCAATCCATTTTAATTCCATCCATTTCATTCTCGTTTGCTGGGTCCTAAGACATCCCTCGAATAGTGTACTAGATAATGGCTGTGTTTTCACGTGTCACGACTTCACGTTATATAACTGCTCAGACGCTCTTTTTTTCGTGGTCATAATCAATTCACGATAACTATGGCGTAGAGGGGAAGGAAGGTGCTAGCAACTGCGGAGAGGAACCTTCGAGAATATCGCGTTGTGCGCGTGCGCATACTGCTCCGTTTCGGTTTCACTGCCGGTCTGCTCGCGGTTCAGGACTCGAGTTCATCAGGCTTAGGTTACACAACGTGCACGAATTCACGAGTGCGTGTTCGTCGCCGGTTTTGTACTTCGATCGACTCAGTGATTGTGAAGAGATCGTGATCATGGTGAGTTATTTATTGTTGTATGTAGATCTCTATAGACCGTTGTAAAAAAAGGGGAGCCTTCTTTTTCGCGGGGAAAATCCACGTGGCATAGGATACGCTGTTCCGTGGTCATTTTCCGATAATCCTTACAAATAGTTTGGTATTTGCACAGCAGTGCTTCTTACTCGCATGTTGTGTTATCTCCGAAGTCACCGTTCGAAAACAAATCGGAAGATGTTGCACCGTTTTCCTTCGTGTATCCGATCACTTCTCGAAGCGAATTGCTTTTGTTTAAGTTTGTCGAGATAAACCGATATCTCGACTGTAATTGTATCCTTGTCGTTCGTTCATAAGTAATTCGTAATAACGTTAATCTTTACACGAAGTAATTGAATATGCAGGTATCTTGTAACTTTTGTTATAAGAGAAATTTCATTTGCAACTTTCGTCATCATACATTTTTTTTTTGTCAAATTTCGTTATTGTCTTAAATTCACGAAAAAGTTGAAGATGATGGTTAAGTACACAAGTCAATGTGGTTGAATTAAATTTAATCACAAATTTTGTAAATGTAATTGTTAATTAAGTCCAAATTGATTAACTTTTGCTATAAGAGAAATTCCATTGATGACTTTCGTCATCATACATTTCTTTTTTTATCAAATTTTAGTACTCTTATATCTATGAAAAAGTAAGAATGATTAAGTTACATGTAAGTCAATGTAGTCGAATTAAATTTAATCATAAATTTTATAAATTTAGTTAATTAAGTCAAAATTGACTAACAGATTAATTACCTTGTTCTTGATATATTAACACCTGAAGTTGAAATAATATATTATATTAGTAATTATAAATATTTATATATTTTCAGGCTGCTGCCAATGCTGTGAAAAGGCTGATTCCTCTCTTTGATAGAGTTCTCATACAAAGAGCCGAGGCTATTACCAAAACGAAAGGTGGTATTGTACTGCCAGAGAAAGCTCAAGCAAAAGTCTTGCGAGGCACAGTTGTGGCCACAGGCCCTGGAGCGAGAAATGATGTATGTACAAAGAAATAATGTGTATCATATTTTTTATAGATATTTCTCTAAATTATCTGTTAATAATTATATTATCTTTTTCTTTGTCATCAGAAAGGAGAACATGTGCCTTTAAGCATTAAGATCGGAGATGTTGTGTTACTTCCTGAATATGGCGGTACAAAGGTTGAGCTTGAAGACAACAAGGAATACCACTTGTTCCGCGAGTCGGATATATTAGCCAAAGTAGAAGTTTAATTCGTTGAATTTAAGTTTCCAGTAAATGCTACAAGGTGTTTTTCTAGAACTTCATTAACTAACAGCAAAAAAATATGTATACACAGAGTTTTACATATGTAATTAAAAGTTCTGTTTAACTTGATAAAAACACCTATTTTTTTTTATTGCTGCTAAAATGCTAATGTTTCTTATTGTACATAAAGTTTTTCCAATAAAATAAAGCATTTGTCTATTATATTTATTTTGTTACTATTGTATGTACACAATTTCACATATTAATTATTTGAATACGAGCACTTACAATTATAAGACAGTTAATTATTATCGATAATTTTCAGACAGAATTTTAAATGTCCAATTTTTATGACTCTAGAATTGATCTTAGATTGATCTTAGAAATTATATATTAATGAGAAAATACCACAGAACTCAGAATTATATATTAACATTCATATATTTAAAAAAAATATTCATATGGTTTACATTGAATAAAATTATTCAGTTATTTTAATTTAATACCTTTCTTCACACCTGCTTTGATACCCGAGATCTCACCTGCATAACGAGTCAATTCCTTTCTTACTTCTCTCACCTGTAAGAAATAATTTTTTAAAATTTCGTATAAAATATATTCGAAGAGCTCTTGTGTATGTCAGTAACAATAGTAAACATTTTATCTTTATGCTTTATACATACCGCGCCCTTTCTGCGAATTATGGCTTTACGATATTTGTTTCTGTGTTTCACTCGCGGATTGCGTAGTTCTTTCTTGCGGTAAGGTGTGAGACCTCTATTCTTCGCCATTTGATACGTTATCGCTCTCTTGGCATCTTCTTCGTTCATATTATTCAGAATGGTATCATATTTTTCATCAGATACAGATTCGTCATTGTACTTTTCTTCAATATCTATATCTTCATCTATGCTTGTTTCTTCATCTGTACTATTAGATAATAATTTCTCTTCTTGTATTACTGCTTTTCTTTTATTTATCAGTTTAGTCAAGTTAATAAGTCTTGGAATCTTTTTACTACTTTGTACTAGAGAACCATCTGATATACTATAAAGAGGTCGACCTTCCTTAACTGCTTTCAGTATCTCTGTCACTTGCTCTAACAAATCTCCCTGCTCTGATTGCAATTCGTCGAGCAGTTGACGATATTGCTCCAGACGTTTCACAACTGGATGCGTTTTTATTGGAAGCTCCTTCATTTTCAGCATCAAACAAAATGAAATATTTGTGCAATAATTTAATATAACTTCATACTTAGTTCTGATAAAAGTTACTGCATTGCATTCAGGACATGTTCCATCTTTGACCAATTCAAGAAAGGGTGCTAAAATATCCTTTGCTTCCAACATGCATTCTGTAATAAAAGCAATTATTTATTCAATGCAATAAATACTTTTAATGGTATCATTAATACTTTTGTTATTATATAATAGCATACAAAAAATATAGTTTTATTCATGATAAAAAAATATTGATTTTGAAAGCTTAATTCATTAATTAAAATTAATTAGATCAAATCACTATTATTATAAATGATAATTACCACAATTAATTAGTAATACAACAATAAATTAGTAATAAAATGTGTCTTAAATAATATCGTTATGAAATACCTTTAAAAGTATTGATCATAATCATAAAAGATTCCTTGTCAGACACTTGTTTTTTGTCCTCTTGAACAACTGTGCTGTCTTCTATAATTTCAGTTACCTTGTTTTTATTCAAATTTGAACCATCAAGAGTTAAATGCTGTCCCATTGCTCTTAAATGTAGTCTTTTTCCTTCTTCTTCTTCCATTTCTGCATTAATCAAATCTTTTTGAGGCGCTGATGCATAATCTGTGTATTTAAAATCTGACGAGTAAAAAGCTTTTGCTTTGCTGCCCCAAGCTCTGTCGTTTGGCATATCATAATCTTCTTGTATCCCTTCGATGTCAGATTCCATTGAATCTTGTTGATCGTCTGATTCTTCCTCATTGTCATTCTTTAGACCAAGAACTTCATCGTCACTATCAAAATTTTCAATAGTATGCTGTTTTCTTACTTTTTCTAACAATTTCTTTTCAGTTTCTGTATATTCTTCTTCTGAATCTGTCACATCATTCATATCCACATCTTCAATATCGTTTTCCATATCATCAGTGTCCTCCTTAACGAGAGATTTCCTTGTTCTAATGGATAGAAATAAATTCATAAATAAGAATATTTTACTTTTATAAAATAGTATAGAATGAACATACACACAATCAAAATTAAAAAATTCTGGAGTACATTTCAAAATATCCTCTCTGAAGAAAATTTTATTTCAAAAATATTACTCTAAACATATAATATGTAACATATTATTTATTTTGGAATGTAGCTTGATGTATAAAATTTTCGAAATATAAATATTGAAAATTGATCTAACACATCACTTATTCTAATTATTATATATTAATCTCTTACTCTTTCAAATGGAATTGCTTAATTAATATTATATTCAACTTTTATTATTATAATTAAATTAATCAAACTTTATTCAAAGATATTATATATAGTCATCTTTTTTAATTTAATCTTCATTGATACATTTTTTAGCTGTTACCTTTTTTTGCGAGCCATATTTGCAAATATTTGATATAAAAATGCTTCGAAGAAATAAGTATTTTCTAACAACTTGTTCTTCGTCGATAAATGTAATTCATCTCCTGCCACGAGTTCACTCCATGGAGTATGGCCAGAGACTTGCCACCTGGTGGCAGCACTGCGGCCGAATTCTCTATCCATTCTCGTATCTAAAATCCTTAGAGCCCTGCGAAAAAGCAGTTACAGGGATAAATTGTCAGATTTTTTATATGCAAGCAAAAGAATTTAGCCGAGGAGTGTTTTAAAATAAAATGTATATCTATAGGAGCTAACAGAAAATTTTTCTTGAGAAAGAATCTGCTTATAATGGCTTATATGATTTAGGAATGGTGGGAGGGCAATAAAACACACTGTAATTAATGTCTTGCCGGGGGTTTTCACAAGGGCATTCATTTATGGCAACAATATTTTTGTAATTTACAAGTTTCTTATTTAAGTAGTAATTAATAATCCAGCAAACGAAAATGAATTGAAATGAATTGAAATGGATTTAGATTTTCAGAAATATTGATTCACGAATGTTAAAAATAATATTAGCTATGCACACAAACACAATGTGTGAATTCAAACTGTTCAAAATTTTGAATAGGAAATGCAGTTTTTCAATCCAATTGCATCCAATTGAATCTAATTGAATCCAATTGAATTCACAAAAAAGTATTTGCTATTTAAATTACGCATTCGAAAAAAATTTCAGTCCATTTTAATCCATTCTCGTTTGCTGAGAAGTGACTACATTTACATGTCACCCTTAATCAGATTTAATAACATCTATAGTTATGAAACTGGCCAATCACAGCTGTTCCATTCTTCTGAGGAGCAGCTATGATCGGCCAATTTCATAACTACAATACAGATGTTATTAAACCCGATTAAGAGTGTAAATGTAGTCACTTACACTACAACTTATATAACAAATTTATATTTTTTACAATATTTTTGAAGTAAGAAATTAACAGCGACATAGAAATAAAAGCATTTTTCGAAAACATTATTTAATACGTGACATGATCTATATTTAATGTTACAAAGTCTATTAGCGATCAGAGAGTCGTAATAATATTATGAGCTGGTTTTTTTCTTTTTCTACGTCTTCTAACTGGTTGTAGAGCAACGATGCGCAAATAGCTCAATTCTCGCTCTCTTCGGTGTTCCTCGATATCAATCTTGTTTAGGAGATAAGGACCGCTAGCCGTCATACTGATTGCTCCGAATGGCGCTAGAAATACTATAGTAATTACGGATATCCTCACCACATCGAGAGCTAATTCTATTTTCGTGGGATCGCCTTCTTTTCTAGCACGTTCAAATGCCATCGGCGCTAACGCTGCCTAATTTTCGAAATATCAACATTCATCGAATTATTAATTTTAATAAATTTTTGATAGAGAATTAATTGCACAGAAATCCAGCAAATGAGAATAGATTAAAATGGATTGAAATTTTTTTCTATCCGAATGTGTATTTTAAATAGCGAATACTTTTTTCTGAATTTAATTGGATTCAATTAGATTCAATTGGATGCAATTGGATTGAAAAATTACATTTCCTATTCAAAATTTTGAATTGAATAGTATTCACAATGTGTGTGTTGTGCACAGAAAAAGCTAATATTATTTTTAGATTGAAAAGCATAGAGATATACTCCATATAATTCTTATAAATGAATAAAAATGCATTCAGGATTGAAAAACATTCATTTTTAACATTCGTGAATCAATATTTCTGAAAATCTGAATCCATTTCAATTTATTTCTATCCATTCTCGTTTGCTGGGAAGAATGGTCTTACTGAAGTGTTTAAAACTTTAGCTCATTATAAATCTATAACAAGAATTATATGTTAGATATGATTATCTATTAAGTAATTATTATTAGACACTCAGACTGATTGTTAAAATGACACAATTTTTTACAGCATTATCATCATGTTCGAGCATTCTGTATAATAATTATATTGATGGCTCAATATATTTATTTTCATGGATTTGTATCTGGCTTAATTTTTACTTCAACAAAACCGTTATTTCACATGGAAATGGAAAAAAAACTCTTTACCTGCACAGTTCCTTTTGGTACCCAGGCTATGGCGATGAAGAGTCGTTCTTTCCATGTAAAAGGCATTCGAATCGTTGTTAAAAAGGTAGTAGTACTGCGCACCTAAACTTAGAAAATTGTATGAAAGTTTTTACATTGTTAAGTATATTTATTTATGAGATAGATAATTTGATAAAAAAACATTATTATTACGAAAAAATTAACTTTCAAGTTTTATTTTGAACTAAAATCAAATAAAACATAGTTACATTCTAATTTTTTACTTGCACTCAACACTATGTGAAGTTAATCCCCTCCCCTCCCCTCCCACCCCAATAAAAGATATGATCACCCTAGTGGGCATAAAAACAGCAATAAATTCAAACATTTTTTTTAGTTTAAAAAATAATTTAACATAAAATCAAATTAAAGCACTGATTAGTATATATATTAAAGTCCACAAAAAAATTTTTTTACATCTAAAATGGAGGCACTATTAGTTTTTCTCAAAACAATTTTTCAAATTGACTCGACAAATAACTTGAATAATTTTTATCCGAATGGGTTCAAATTTTAATTGCAACTTCTTAGACACATTCCGCAGAGAAGTACATAGGGATTTTTCGATAAACATTTTTATAAACAGGATTTTTATTTTAGAAACAGTTTTTCATAAAATTAAAAAAAATGCAAGTATGATTTCAAATACCTGCCATTTTTGAAAATATTTTCAATATTTTCACAAACCCCTATGTACTTCTTTAGGTATTTTAATGTACATTAAAAAAAAATTTTTTTTTGCTTTAGGTCAAAATTTGTGAATGCTAGATGTAAAATCCCGGACCATCTCCAAAAAAAAACGTACTAGATTCTGTCATTGGTTGCCGCCATTTGGATGCAAAAAATACAAAAAAAATTTTTTTGTGGACTTTAATATATGCACTAACTAGTGCTTTAATTTGATTTTATATTGAATTATTTTTTTTTTTTAAAAAAAATTTTGAATTTATTGCTGTTTTTATGCTCTAGAGTAATATTATCCCTTAAAAAATCCAAAATCTTTTTGCATTTGTCCCCACTCTAATTTAAGAGAGAGAGAGAGAGAGAGAGAGAGAGAGAGAGAGA